GGAAGAAAACTTTCTTAACATGGTGATGGCTGAGGTTAGGAATACGGTGTGGAAAATGTGATGGAGCAGAGGCTCCTTGGCTTGTTCATGGAGGGTGGCAGTCTTCTCAGGGCAGGAAATGTACTATTACAGAGGAATGTTTGGTTGAGAGGGGAAAGGGATCATTACTAGAAGACTTCAGGCTGCCTCCTTTCATCTTATTTTGTTAGAAACATTAGAAAAGGCTTTTGGAAAGACTAGAAGGAAATATACCAGAATGTCAGCAGAAATTGTGGCAGGACAGTGGGAAAATAGATCAATTTTCTTCTCCTTTTTATTTTCCAAATTTTGTAATTTTTTAATGATTAAAAAATAATGTTGAAGATCACTATAATATTTATCCTTCATCATTAAATAAGAGTTTTTATATTTATGTTGTAAATGAAACCATTGGTTGTTACTAGAATTTTAATTATGACACTTTTTATGTTTTATTTTAGATAGATCTTTGCTCCAAGAAACATTTTCAGAATTCCCTAGGCCCAAATCAGACTCCTGTCTGCCTGTTTACTTTTTACAAGCGTGTGTTTATTGATACCATATGTTATTCTGAGTTATCTTTGCTTAAGATCAGCTGGATTTTCTGCCCTCGTATGACTTTTGTGTTAGAGGAGAGTAGAGAGTGCCAACATCTAAAGCACTTCAAAAGAGCACATCAATATTATGCAGAGGAGCTTTTTTTCTGCCTGCCTTCCCATTCTAATGAGGCTGGGGACATAATAGTCTTAGGAGATGGGGCTAGTTTGGTGTGACAGTGCAGGGGTGCAGGGTTGTTGTGAGGAAGTCTCATGGTGCTTGGGCCCTCCTTCAAATTAGAGCTTCTTAGAAGATAAGAACAATACAAGGCATTTTCAGTGCTTACAGCTGAGGCACTTTTTGTTCTTTTGAAACTTAGACTTTTTTTTTTTTTAAACTAAAGATTGAATCCAGGACCTCCACACCCAGCTACTTCCTCGGCCCTTTAAAGATTTCTTTAAGACAAGATCTCATTAAGTTGCTAAATTGACCAGGCTGGGCTTGAACTTGTGAAAATATGTACCTCAGCCTCCCAGGTCAAAGTTTTATATGTTCTTTAGATTTTGTATGTCAGAAGTTTAGAATTTCAAGAAGCCTTTCCCCATAGAACTAATATTAGAAAACCAGTTCCAGAATAGTCTTTTCTAAAACCAAACTATAGTAGAACTAATATTAGAAAGCCAATTCCACAATAGTCTTTTCTAAAACCAAGCTACAGTAGTATGCCAATAATATCATAGGCTACCATTGTTTTGTGGTGGAATAATTTCCAGTTTTAAGCTTTTAGAAGCCTTGTTTTGTAAAATTTTGTTTTGTTTTGTTGTCTCTTTGAGACAGGGTTTCGTTTTGCTGATCAGGCTGGGTTTGAACTCATTTTGTAGCCCAAGCTGGCTTGAACTCACAGCGATCCATCTGCTTTAGCCTCCCAAGTGCTGGGATTACAGCTGTGTGCTACCACATCCGGCTGTAAGATTTTAAAAGGATACGTTTTATTCATCTATTATTCATTCATTTTTCTCTTATACTAATGCTTTCAATCAAAACAAGCTCTGCTTTTGTTTCATTTGTATACTGAAATTGTCTAGATTTTGTTTGAATAGATTGTGTTGCATTTCTTAGTATATGTGTGTATAAGTTCATTGTGTGTGTGTGTGTGTGTGTGTGTGTGTGTGTACCCGATCTACTTGCCCGAAAGATAATATTCTCACTGTACTCTTGCCAGTCCTTCATAGCCACCTATATCCTTTTTCCAATTTTGTACACTGTAGCATAGATATGTGCCCTTTCCATTTGTTACAGTTGAGTGGGCCAAAAATATTCCAGGTTCTTGTGTACAACAAGAAGAGACTTACCAAACATACACTCTATACTATGTAGTAAGCACCTACATTCTTTGAAGATCATGGAATGATAGCAGGAACAGGGAGAAGGGAAGAAGGAACTCGAGGTTGAAAGGGAAAGGAAAGGTCTTGATAACCAAGGCTTCCATTGTTATAGATTCCAACACCGCTGATCCAGGGTGCCTGCCATTTCTCTTGCTCTGATGTCAGCAATCTCTGAGACTTCAGTTTAAATCTGGATAATCATTAGAGTGGTGTTTGGTTTATGGTTGAATGGAGAGAAGGGAAGTGGATCACATATCTTCCCTGTTTTTGGATTATGGAAGCATGGTATAATCATTAAGGTGGTATGGCATTTATAGTTGAACTCAGGAAAGGGAGTGTGACTCAGATCCTTTGTTTCTAACTGTACTGCCATTATCTTTATAGCTAATTTTACAAATTCCTTCAGCTCTTTAATGCCACCTCATAACATTTTTTCTATTTGATATTTCTCAAGATAGCATTCTAAGAGCTAGGGAAATAGCTCAGCAGTCTAAATCCTGCCTGGCAAGTGCAAGGACTCAGGCTTTATCCCTGGTACTGCATGCCATGCCAGACCCACAAGGAACCAGCCTCCGAAACCAGGCGTGGTGGCTCATGCCTGTAATCGCAGTACTGGGGAGGCTGAGACAGGAGGATCACTACAAGTCCAAGCTGTGTAGCAAGACCCTGTATCACATAGTAAATAAATAAAAAGACTTTTAAAAAGGTCTTTATTCTTTCCATTTACACTTGCAACATGGCCTGCTTCCTCATTGGATCAATATTACCTAAGCAACTAAACTTATATCTTATTGGTCAGTTGATTATAGTTTTGACCCTCATTGTACCCACTTATTTGCTATATAAAACTTCCTTTGAGAAATGGGCTTGTGGACAATCCACTATCAGGTCCCCACCTGTCTCTCAGAAGTTGTATCTCTCAATAAATGTCTCCTGCTCTTAGCCTCTTTATTCCTCAGAATTCATTCTTTGATTTTGGGGAACACAAACTTAGTGTATCTGACATCTAGCAAGTTGGGAGTCACATTTATTTACCCATATCAGAGTAGGACACACTTTATGACCTGAGGCTGGTATGTTTATGTTTTAGGGAGGTAGAAATCTCAGACCTGTCAATCTGTAGAAAATGTGGGCTGAACTAATAGATGAAAGGTTTATTTTACAGGCAAAAGACACAGACTCAAGGTATTGTATCTTTAAGATTTAAGAATTAGGAGTAAGTGGCCTAGAAGGGGGAAAAAAAAGAATGTTACAGTATTTTAAAAGCACAATTTTAGAATTACGATTTTGTTCTGCCTCCTTTTGTACCTATATTTTTTATACTGTATCTTTCTGTTTCACTGCCATCTTAGTCTGAGGCGCTGTGATGTCTTGTCAGTACTACTGCAACAGCTATTCATCTCCCCTTGTTCCTCTGTAGTATATTTTCTAACATGGGAACCAAAATTATCCCTTTACAATGTTATTTATTCAGTTTGTGGCATGCTCAAAACCCGGTAGCATTTTTCCATCCTTTCAGAGTAAAACGGGAAAGTCCTTACAGTGACTTGGAGAAGCCTGTGTGATCTAACCCCTGCTACTGGTACTTCTCTAATCACGTCATCTACTACTCTCTCTTTCAGTGTTTTCTGGCCACACATATGTTTTGAACATAACAGAAACTTTGCACTTGCTCATTGGAAGACTTGGTATGGCTTGGTTTTGCACTTCCTTTAAGGTCTGTGCTCAGGTCATTGTTTCAGTGGAACTTTCCTAACCTGCCCTATAAAATACTCATTCATTCCCACATACATCCTCCTTACTCTTTAACCTGCTTTATATTCTTTATTATCCCTCTTGCATTCTCATCCCCCACCCCCAGTTTATGTTTCATTCTATACAACAATCTCCATGGAACTAGAGACTCAAGATTGTTTAGCAAATTAAACTGTTGCTGGTCCTTAATGAGCTACTCATAAAATAATGTTTTAGAGAATATCTTCTTTTATGTTTCTTTCCATAAAAGAAGTTAGTATCTTTAGAAGCTTGACTTTATCCTTTTTAAGCTTCTTTTAAGATATTTTCTATGAGGAATACTAGTTCTTTACTGTTTCCTTCTGTCTATAAAAAAGTTCAAGTCTTTTCCACTCTAAAAAATGAGCAGAGAGAATTTCTCAATGACCTATTGCTGAAGTTATCCTCATCTACCCATAACTACCATTTACTTTCCCCCTCAACCCTGCCAGGCTATCTGAAATCTACATTTGATGTCTGTACTTCTCTAAATATCATTCAGTTTTGATGGTTTCACAGAAATTACCTATGATGTTTACCAGATGGCTATCTGATGAGTAAATTTGTTTATTTTTTTCAGTTTTCAATCTCCCTTGATTCTTTTGGCACATAGCACTACCTCCTCTGGAATGCCACTCTCTGAGTGACCTACCTCTGACTATTCCATTTTGTTCTCTTCTTATTTCTTCCCATGCCTCAAATATTGCTTTTCTTTACTCTCTAGTGTTATATTTTTTTTCCCAATACAAACTCTCCTTGGGCAGTGTCATTTCTATATACTTCCGGTGTAGTGATAACTTCTAAATTTAGATCTTGACTTGGCCTTTTTTGAACTTTAGGATTCAATATCTCGATTTATTGTAATTTCCACCTGAATATGACCTAAAATTCAACAGGTCTGAAACAAAATTCACTATGTTAAAAAAATCATTTGACTTTGTACTATAGGTATAATAACAAGAATTTAGTCTTTAGGGTAATTGTAAGGATTGTGTAAGTTAATACATAAAACAAACTTCAAATTCTGGCAGATAGAAAGCACATAATAAGTAGTAACTACTATTATTACATAGTAGTTTCCCCTATTTTATTGCAAGCTATTTGAGGGCAAGGACCAAGTCCTCAAACTGACTGCTGTCCTTAATTTGTAATAGATGTTCTTTAAAAGTTGAGTTAAAAAGAATAATAATTATTATTGAATATATGGTGTGTGTAATCCTCTTATTAACTTATAAGCCTATTATTTAACAGTGAGATAACATCAGCTACTTTTTTTTTTCTCTCTAGGTGCATTATGTTGTAATCATTCAAAGGACAACCAAATGTGCCGTGATGTGTGTGAGCAGGTAAGCTTGATGATAATTGTAGATGCTATCAGTTATGTAATTTTAAAAAATAAGTTATGGAAAAATCTGTTAGACAGCACCTTAGCCTTGTGATTAGAGTTCATATCCCATTGATGGAACAAATTGACCTATGTCTGTTGACATGATACGCTGAGAAAGGACACAGTATCTTACAAAGGGTTCCTGCCAGAAATGACCCAAATAAAGAGAAAACAATCAAGCAAACTTAGATTGAGGAGTATTATGTAAAATAACAGCCTAAAGCCTTTTAAATGTCATTTATATTAAAATACTCATATCAGTTATTATGAAAACAAAGTAATAAACTGTTCCAGAATAAAGGAAACTAAAACCAGGTGTGGTGACACACCACTATTGTTGCAGCATTTGGGAGGCTGAGGTAGGAGAATAGTGAGTTTGAGGCCAATCTGTCCTACATTTTATTTATTTGCTTATTTTTAAATTTTATTTATTTATTTATTTATTTATTTATTTATTTATTTATTTTTGCGGTACTGGGGATTGAATGCAGGAACTTATGCGTGCCAGACAGGTGCCTAAGTCGCTGAGCTATATCCCCAGCCCCAAGTCCTACATTTTAAAGAAGTGAGGGGAGAGAGAGACAGACAGACAGACAGGGAGGGGGAGGGGAAGGGAGGGAAGGAGAGAGAGAGAAGAAAGGAAGGAAGGAAGGAAGGAAGGAAGGAAGGAAGGAAGGAAGGAAGGAAGGAAGAGAGAAAAGGAAAGAGAAGAAGAGAAAAGAAAAGAAAAGAAAAGAAAAGAAAAGAGCAAAACAAAGAGATACGGCAATCCATTATTCTGGTTGTATCCTGGAATGAAAAGAATTTTTTTTTAAATGGCCATAAGGGACTTTATTGAGATAAATTGGTAAACTTTGAATATGGACTGGATGTTGATTAATAATATTGTATCAGTTTTGTGATCCTGAATTTGATCATTTTTGCGACTATATGTGACAGTGTCCATGTTCCAAAGTTAGGTACATGCTAAGATTTTGGAGTGAATGATCATATGTGTCTATAATTAATTCTTAAATGGTTCATCAGTTCATAATAGTGATGTCTGTGTATGTATAGAGAGAGTTAAAACAAATTTTGTGAGATGTTAATAATGGATGAATCTTGTGAACACTATGTAGAGGTTTATTGTATTAGTCTTAAAACTTTTTAGGTAGAATTTTTCTAGTTGAGCCTTTTTATGCAAGTTCCACTGTTTATAAAGTCTTAACTTTCTTTTGTCATATTACTTGTGCTATCTAGCCTAAGCACTTAAAAAAATAATCTCAGTCATTTCTTTAAGTTTCCTACTAAATTGCTATTGGGAAGTAAGAGGCTGTTTGGAGGTATGTTACTGTGGGCATGCCCCAGAAGGGTCTGTCTCCTTCTCTGGCTTTTCCCATATATATATATATATATATAGAACCAGGGATTGAACTCAGGCCCTTGCGCTTGCCAGGCAAGAGCTTATTCTACTGAGACATCTCCTTGGCCCCTGAACCTTTCTTTCTTTAAGTTGTGTATGCCAAGTATCATGTCTCAGTGATGGGAACATGGCTAAGAGACTAGTACAGTAATTTCGGGATTTTGTTACTTTCTAAAACTGAGAAATACTTGTCTGGGACTATATCTCCTATCATACTGTGGACTTAGGAAGATTTTACAAGATACTCTTAGATTATAAGGCATGATAGTTTGTTACCTCATCTAAATGGCTAATAAAGAATTTGGTGGTAATGTTGGTGTCTTTTTGCTCTTTTATTCCCTGCAGTATTTGTTTTATGAAGTTAGATGCTCCAACATTTGAGGCATATATATTTACTAGTTTTATATTTTCCTGTTAGATTGTTCCCTTAACTAGTATGTGTTAACTTTCTTAATCTCTTCTGATCAATTTTAGCTTGAAGTTTACTTTTGTCTGAGAGTAAAATTGCTATTCCTGCTTACTTCTGGGACCTTGGTACATGAGATGTTTTCTGTTGTTTAATATTTAATTAAAATTGAAATTAATTTTCATTTAGTTTCTTAAATGTAACAGATTGTTGGATTTTTGTTTTTTGACTTCATCTGTGAACCTTTGTCTTTTAATTGGGGAATTGATATGATTAATGTTGACAGATACTGTTGTAAGGTATTGATTTATTCCTGTCATTGCATGCTCTTTTTTATTTTTAATTTTAATTAAAAAATCTTTTATTTATGTATTTGGCATAGAGTCTCACTATACAGCTCTGACTCATAGTGATCCTCCTGTCTCGGCCTCCCTAGCACTGGTATTATAGGTTGCGCCACCATGCCCAGTTTTGGTGGTCAGCCTGGCATGGGGCCACTGGGATTGAACCTGGGTCCTTGCGCTTGCCAGGCAGGTACTTAGACTGCCAAGCTATCTCCCCCTCCTTTTTTTTTAAAATAAAAACAGATGACTTACTGGAAGATGGGTAGTGTGCTACTCCAGACAAGTAGGGAGTATTTGAAAAGGGAGTGCGCCACGTTCTTTTTCTTTTGGTGACTCCTTCCTTTCTCTTTTTTTCTGTTTTTTTTTTTTTTCCCCAGGGGGGAGTGTTGTTTATTTATCTATTTGCCTTGCTTGGTATGTTCATTTGTTCATTCTATCTGAACTTTTGGCTTTGTTGTCTGTTTAGGATATTCTTGAGGTGTTTTTGTTTTGTTTTGTTTTGTTTTGTTTTTGAGTGCTAGTAAGGTATATCTCTAATTTTTGTTTTTCATGAACTGGCCTTGCTTCACTATCTTGAAAGAAAATTTACCTATATGTTCAAATGATTCCTCAATTTGGAATGTTTTTTATTATGATTTCTGTAAACAGATTTTTTTTAATTGTATGTGTGTTGCTTTCTAGTTTCTTATCAAAGATTAGCCTTAGATTGGTCTTTTTAGCATGATGTAGAAGCTATTGGGTAACTTTTTCTTGTTCTTTTACTATTTTTGAAGCTTCTCTGAATAGTTTGTTATAATTTACCATTTTGACTTTATTTTTGAAACCTCATCTTCACATTGGTCATTTCTGCAATTTATGAATTCTGAGCTCTTTTTTTTTTTTTTTTTGGTACCAGGGATCGAACTCAGGGTCTTGCACTTACCAGGCAGGTGCTTATGCCACTGAGCTATATCCCCAGCCTAAGGGATATATATATCTCCTAGGATCTCACTACGTAGATCAGACTTGTAGTGATCCTCCTGTTTACAGCCTCCCAAGAGCTGGGATTACAGTCACGAGCCACCATGCCCAGTCTCAGTCACCATCTCAGCACAGCCCGGGGGCAGGGCCAGCATGGCAGGCCTGGGGATCAAACTCCCAGGCCCTGCATCTGCCTAAGCAGGCACTTTAATTCACTGACCTGTTTGGCCAGCCCCTTATGAATTCTGTACAATTTGTTATTTGCTCGATTTATATCTGACACCATGTCACTGAATCTATATTTTTGTTAAATGTATCATTCTGTCTTGAACTGTTTAGATCAGTGCTTCCCATTTTTAAAATTTGTCCCATATTCATATCAGTTTGTATGATAGTTTTATGAACTTTTGGGTCACTTCCTCTTTGAACATGCTAAGTTTCTTTACTTTGTTAATCAATTCATGAAGCTCTGCTACTTGCTTTCTTCTCCCTGGTGCTCCTGTCTGTCTTGGGAGAGTTAGGAAACCTTGCGGGCCATTTGTTGTCTTGTTTTCCCACATGTGTGGTGTGCACAGGGCGGGGGTACTGGAAGTTGAGCTAAAGTAGAATGAGGAAAGGTTGTAGTTGATATGAAGATCTTTTTAGTTATGTTCTGCCTTCCAGTGGTTTTTGAGGTTTCCTTTTGTTGGGTGTGAACCCATGCAATCGACCAGATCAGGCATTCTGATGTGAGTAGATTTATTGGGGATACCAAGCAGGCTGGCTCTCTAGCGGACCAAGACAGCAGTGAACAAAGAGGGGACAGGAGACTTTATAGGATCTTTTAGGAAGAGTGATCACTGGCAAGAACAGCTGAGGGATCTTGGCAGGGCTACCTCTGTGGGGGACCTTTAATGTTAAAAAAGTTTTGTGGTTGCTTGCCCAGGTCAGAGTCAGGTGGACCTGTTCTTTGGTATTGGGTTTGACTATGTGTGGGGCCAAGGGGGAGAGAGTTTGGGGGCAGGGTGCCTGGGCAACCAAGACGGAGAGTATTTGGGGCAAGGTGCCTGGGAAACTTTGAATCCTGACCTATCACATTTGCCCAACAGTAGTGCTCACCTTCAGCTATTTAAATTGTTTAGACCCTGTCGTTCTGTTGTGAAGAGAAAATTATTACTGCTTATAATAACATTAACAGACCTCATCATACACCACTTATATATGTTAAAATTTGTACTTAGGCTTTTACTGTTAATCAGCATCCTTTACAACTTATGCTACATTGTTACTCACAGTTAGTTTATAATATAAAAAGGAAAAGGGATGGGAAGAAATGGACAAATGAGTGAAATGGGTATAAGTAAGTAGGAAGAGAGGTAGAAGGGAGAAATAATAATAGGTTAAAAAAATAGACAGGAATCAGTTTCTGTTGGAAATCTTTTATAGTTAAAAGATTTGTTGTTGAGGGTTTTAAAAAGATATTTGTGAGGGCAAGGTGGGATTCAGGAAAGCTGCAAGGCTGTCAGAATCTGTTGACATATTTGTATATTTGTAAGATAGAGAAGAGGCAGGGAAAAACAAGGGGCTAAGTAAAATAAGAAGAGCAAAATGAATGGAATATAATGGACAGATTGATATGAGAGAAAATAGAAAAGACAAGAGGAAAACTTTAACTTAAAAAATGGGAGAAATAGGCAAAGGATACTTGTTTAAAATACTATTGATACAGAAATTAGAATAGAAGAAAAGGAATAGGGAGTAATAAAGAAAGTAACAGCTGTGTCAAAGAAAAAGAAAAAACAACAACACAACAAATCTCATAGAGACCCAGATCAGACACTCAATAAGAGAAGACACATGACATTTTC